AAAAAATCATAGACAAATGGAATGACAGTTTATCTTCTAATATCTAGTTTGGAATTTTACATATGGTTACAACTATTGTTAAATTATCCATAGCTAATTGGTCTTAAACTGAAATGGACAATTAAGCTTGTTCTGGACGATTAACTAGTTTATATTTTAGGTATTTGCCTAATTAGACATTTCCAAAACTATTCATTTGCATTGGTTAATGTTTCTATGGCATTCTATTGTGAAATTTTAAGCTATCATTTTCTTTGATGTTTATCCTTTTGAAGTTATCTCCATAAGGACGTGGATATTATAAAACATAATCCACTATAATTATAATCATTGCTGTGGACTTATTTTCTCACCCTGTAAAGAAAATTATGATACAATACAGAAATAGGAATTTCAACTTCTTGCAGTACATGGAAAGCTCTGATCAGTAGACACACCCCCACACATATATTTTTAAAGGGAAGATTGTAATTTTACTTGTCACATAGAAATAGTAATATGCACTTTAAACTAATCTAAGCTTTACAACTTTACTTATAGTAAAATTCAAAAGAAAAATAACCATTGGAGTCTGGGTCATTTTCTTCTCAGAATGTTTATATTCCCGAAGTTTAGCAAAAGTGTGCAAAAACATATCACAGCATCGTGGCGATACGGTGTGATAAGCATGGGACAGGAAGCATTTGTCTCCGTAAGTTTTTCATAGTGTTTAACGTTACTAACTTTATTTTTTTAGCGAGTAGGCATGTCACGGATGAAGTTTTGGGGGGTGGCCTCTGTGCCCCTCTTCGGCATTCTGCGTGGCCGGATCTTCTTTGTTGCATCTTCAAGATCATTTCGCGAAGGCGCGGGTTTTGTTCGTCGTGCTTAGGGCCCCGGGCGGTGAGATGCGAGCCTCAGGGAAGGGCCGCTCGGCTCGGCAGAGACGGCTGCGGCCCGGAGCCGCCAGCAGGGGCCCTGCCGCGGGAAGCGTCACCTGCAACTCCGCGCCGTGCAACAGCGTCCGCGGGGAGCGCAGCGCGCTGCCGGACCGCAGGAAAGCAGCAACTGTTGCCAACAGAGACGTGGCCGCCGAGCAAGACCAGTGCGGGCTCTCCGGCCACGGAAGGAGCGATTCCGGGGGGGACCTCGGGCACCGGGAAGACGCGTGAGCACGCGAAAGACCTGGCACCAGGTCCCCGTGCAGGAGGACACGCTGCAGAAGCTCTCCTTCCGAGGCTTGCGGTGACAACTGCGGACGGAGACAGGAGGGCGCCGCCGCCACCTGCCGCGCAGACGGCGGTGTTTGGACGTGGGGAAGACGGTGCAGCCCGGGACGCCCACCGGTGCGCGAGGCGAGCGCGGCCTGAGACTGGGCCGGAGGCTGGACTCGGGATGTGACCGGATGTGCGGGCTGGCCCGCGGGAGGGTCGGCAAACCCAGCGTTTGCTGGCAGAACCGGCTCCTGCGCTGACGCAGAACCGGAACCAGGTGAGAGCAACGGCCCTTCTTCCAGGAGGCCCCTGCTGGGCCCGGGACTGCGCCTTCGCCTTCGAGGGAGCCGCTTTCAAACCCGAACGATTCCTTCCAGAAGCATGCGCGGTGGCAGCCCCTAAAAGTGCCTGTCCTGAACAAATGTGTCATCTCAGCGCGGACAGCTCGGCAAGACCGTGTTTGGGAGTTTTGGGGGATGAGCGGCCGCAGCCCTGCGGACCCGCACAGCTCTGCCCCCGGCCCAGACGGTCCGTGAGCGAGGGGGGCAGAGGAGGACTCCCACCGCCGGGGCTACGTATCTCGGAGTCCGGGAACAGCTGAAGCTCCGCCTCAGGCCAGACGGGGACGTGGAGAGGCTCCGGCCGGCCCCTGGAGAGACTCCTTAGCCAGGCCATCTCCGCGCACCTGAGGACGCAAGTTCAATCAGAAGCAAACCCGCAAAAACAAAGAAAACCGACGTCGAAGCTATAACCCAGCAGGCACACTGGGTTTCAGGGCACCCTGTGGGGTGCGCGGGGCCTCCCCGCTTCCCCTTTGTCTAGCTCCGCAATGCCCAGGCCACGCAGGGGCCGCGCCAGGGCGCCCAGCCGGCTTCAGCTCCGCAGGGCGTCAGTAAGTGGGGTGACGTCCATCAGATGCCTCTCAGCCTGCGCCCGACCCGCCTGCAGAGCGTCCCGCCTCGGAGGTGAGCCGCGGCGGGCCTGTGCTGTAGCAAACCGTCCCTTTGCTCTGGGCGTGTGATACATGAAAGTTCACCTTGCTAATTAAAACTAAACCACCGGTTCATTCAAGATTCCTTTTTTCTGCATGTCCCCAGCGCCCTTGGAAATACTCTTCACCTGATGGTTGGTTTCTACATATTCTGTGTGGAAAAAAATATCTACATATCTTTTAGAATCCAAAAAGTACATATATTAGCAAGAACTTTCCAGTGGGTGAAACAACTTGGATGCCTGTCTTTGTGGCTCTGGGCGCACAGAGTTCAAAGTCAAACCAGCAATACTGTTATAAATCACAGTAAAAGTCACCAGAGTGAGAGGCTGGTAATGGGGGGGGGGGGGATAAACGTGAACTTGCTCCCTGAACATTTCTACTTTAGGTTTCTCTAGCTGTGTATTTCTCAAGGGCAGTTTTTGGTTGTTCCATGACAATATTAGTGCTGGGTTTGTGTGAGTGATGTGTTTTGTGAATCAGATCCCGCCCGGAGCTGCATCATGAAGCAAGTAGGGTGTTTATCTGGGAACTTTCTGCCCCGCCGGGCTCACCTGCAGGGAGCCACCACCACCTGGCCAACCACCGGAGCGAGGGCACGAGCATTGATCAAGTGCTTGATGAGTGAGAAGCAAAATTTATTAAAGGTAAGAACTTCAGCTCCGTGAAAGGCGTGGTTAGAGGAATCCAAAGAGAATCCATGTCCTGGGAGGAAATACTTGCAAACTGCTTATCGGACAGAAGATGTCTAACCCAATAGACAAAGAAGTTTTGAGATTCACCCGTAAGAAAACAATCAATCCATTAGAAAGTGGGCAGAAGCCCGGAAAGACACCTCCTCAAAACAGACATCTAAGTGACAACTAAGCACGCAAAAGGATGGTGGAAGTTTTTTCAAATGAAGGAACTGCAAATGGAATGAACCGTGAGCTATCACTACACACTTACTAAAAAGGGCTACAGTGCAAAGCGTGGGAAATACCACCATCCTGGCAACGGTATGGAGCAAACTCTCGTTCACTGCTGGCGGGAGTGCCAAGTTGTACGGCCACGCAGGAAGACAGATGTTCAGCTTTACAAATATAATCACTTTCACTGTGCGTAGCCACGGGCCCCGGCATGCCCCGAACTTCTGCTCACACACACAGTTGCACACTCGTATTCACATCAGCTTCACTCACCCTCGCCACACGGACAGCCAGGCGATGCCCTTCCATGTGTGAACAGCGAACAGTCTACAGTGCATTTGCACACGAGTGTATTCCCAGCGATAGTCAGAAAGGAGCTGCCAGGCCGTCAGGGGACATGGAGAGACCTTCTGTGCTTGTTGCTGAGTAAAACGACCCAGCCTGAAAATGTACATTCTGTATGATTCCGACTACATGGCCTTCTGGGAGCGGAAAACTGTAGAGATAATGAGATCATCCGTGGTGGCCTGGGGCTTGGGAAGCAGGTCAGACAACAAATAATTGAAAGACGGGGTTTTAAGGGCTGGGAGTCTTTCTGCACGATTCCGTAAAGGTGGATAAGGATATTACGTGTTTCTCAAAACCCAGCCCAAAGAGCGAAGCTTATTGCATGTAACTTATAATCATCCAGAAGGCTGCCCTGGCTGGTGTGGCTCGGTGGGTTGAGCACCAGCCTTGGAGGCAAGGGGTCGCTGGTTCCATTCCCAGTCAGGGCACAGGCCCAGCGTGCTGCAGGCCAGGTCCCCAGTAGGGGACGCATGGGAGGCAACCACACACTGATGTTTCTCTCCCTCTCTTCCTCCCTCCCTCCCTTCCTCTCTGAAAATAAATAAGTAAAATATTTGAAGGGCATCCAGAAGGCCAAGGAGTCCCTGGAAGGAACGCAGGCTTTAATACCAGAATCGAACTGTTTCAAGTACAAGATCCAGCCTCGCTGCGGAAGGAGGGGGAAGGAGGGGGAAGGTGCTGACCCTGGCGGTCGTGGAGTGAGCGAAACCTGACAGATTAAGGGCGGGAGGGACAGCTGCACCCGAGTTGATAACGCCGTGAACAAAGGCCGCACAGGTTAACCGTTCGGCCGGTGCTCCCCAGGCGTCCTGGGATGGAGCAGTTACGCGAGTGGACAGCAGATGGCTGAAGGCTTCTCACTGTGGCAGAAGGCATTTACCGGCAAGCCAGGCGAACAGTCCGGGGTGACCCCCGTGCATGGTCAGGAGCTGGAGCTGGACATGTCGCCATGGCCCCGTGTTGGGGATGCGCGTGGTTATAGATGTAGGTAAGTATTCCTGGGCGTGTGCCTGTGCACGAGTCAGCACCTACACTTTTCCTTCTGAGGGAGCTTACAAGAACAGATGCCCTTTCGCACTTAAACACTCGGGGCCCAGTCTGGGTCTCCGCCAGCATTTTCCAGACCCTTGGCCACGTGGCCGAGTTGGTGACAGGGCCCGGGGTGATGGGGTCTGGAGCCACGAGTAGTGCCAGAGCCCAGGGCGGTGGCCCCCGAATGGAGAGGAACGAGCGGAGAAGACGCGGTGGGAGTGTGTGCGAGCGGCAAGCGAGAGAGCCTCCCCTGGCCCAGCCTGGAGCGACTCCAGCGGCAGAATGAGGCAGCGCTGGGCGAGAACAGAGCGTGAGCCTCCGTGCGCCTAGGCGCGTGTGCACGTGCCAACGGGAGCATCTCCTGTAACCTAGGGGGCAGCCGCCCTCAGGAGGAGGGCAGCCTACCACCCCCCGGCGGTGTGTGCGGTGCACCGGGACTCCCTTCCACGGAGAGCAGCGTGGGGAAGGCTGGGGAAACGCTCACGCGGTGGAGAGACCCAGAAACACCGCCTCGGCAGGTGGTCAAGGTCAACCTCTCCGAGGCTGGGAGTTGGGTTGGTACAGAGGGATGTACGATACTGGCTCCGACCACTGGGGGGCAGCAGGGAGCGGCGGTGGGCGGAGTTTGCCGCAGCGACCCGGGGCGGCCTGGGACGGGGTTGGCTGAGAAGCCGAGGCCCGCAGAGCCAATGGGAACAGGGAGAGGGCGGGCTCGCGGCTCGCGGGCCGCGGGCTCCGGGTGGTCTCTCTCCGGCCCCCGGGACCTCCCTGGCACCCCGGCTCTTCCTCCTCGAGGACGCCCGGAGGGTCGTGCTGCAGCGGCGTCGTCCAGTGGACGGTATTTTGGATGCGAGGGAGCTCCAGGTGCAGCCTGGGGTCGGGCTGGGCTGGCCGAGGGGTGGCAGGGCTATCTTTGGGGGTCCTAGAGGGAACAGGCTCGGAGGCAGGAGCCTGCCCGTCGTCCAAAATTGCGTCGTTTTGCAGACTGTGCTGTTTGAGCGTGTGCACACTAGCCCTGCAGGAGCGGGATAGCTGACGGCTCACGCGAACCGCTAGGGGCACTCAGGTGTCAGAGTTTAGCCTTAATTGGTAGGCTGAGGCGGTTCGAGCCAGACTCCACGGGCCGAAGGGACTGCCCGGGGGTAAAGACCCCTCTCCCTCAGCAGCAGAGCGTGGCCTCTGCAGTTCTGCCCAGGAGGGGCGGCGGGCAGCAGGGCCCCAGGTGCTGCGCGCGCGGTGACAGTGTGGTGTAGGGCACCGTGAAAACGGCCCTTTTCCTCTGCCACCGGTGCACCCCAGGCCCACAGCCCCAGGGCTGTCGTGAGACGGCGTCGGGTTCCCGCAGCGTCGGGCCGAGCGGAGCTCGCGGACAAGGAGGGAAACCCGAGTGGCCGTCTAGGCAGTGCAGCAGGATGTCCCCTCCCGGGTGGGACCCCGCTGCCGAAAACGGACGGGAACTGAAACGCAGGAACTCGCAGTAAGTCGTAAGCTTCCGATAAGGGGTTTATCGGCGACGGCTCTTTGGTTGTAACAATGGCCCCCTAACCTGGGGGTCCAGCAGGGGCGACACTGGGTGTCAGGGTTAGAAAACTGGGGACTATCAGTTCATTTGCTTTGCAAATATAAAACTGTTCTAAAATGCTTATTTTTCAAAGTAAGAATTTTTAAAGCAAAACATGCTATAGAAAAAGACCAGCCAGGTATTCAGAAGCCAAATCACGTGATCTACAAACGCAGAGCAGAGTCAATCTGCTTAAAAAGACCGAAAGGAAGAAAGGCAGGTAGAGCGAGAAGGCGAGGGCCGAGAAACGTCTGAGGCTGATGTAAAACCTGACGCCGCAGGTCTAAGGAGTGTTAGAGTTGTTCACGAACTTGGACAAGGTGACCCTACGTTGACCCGCCCTCACGGCGGCACCTTCACAGCCGCCTGGAGGCTGGTGTCGGGCCCATCACCGGGCACCTGGTGGGGGCGAAAAGCGGCCACGCACCAAACTGACCAGCTCAGCAGGGCCTGTGTGGCGGCCTTGCAGACGCAGGGACCGAACGTAATCACGCAGGAGGGTCTGAAGCTAAAAACTTTCTGACCGAAAGCGGGTCGTGGCCGGTAGTCTTGTCCTAGGCTGGTATCTTTCCCTAACAAAGGTCAGCCTTGACCTTCAGGTGGACCTTCAGGGAGCCTGTCTGTTGTGGTTTTGCACCTGCGATACCACACCCCTGGGATGCCAGATTTCCTTTTTCGCGACCCCTCAAAGCACGGGCACCGCACCGGTGGAGGGCGGGGACCACCACTCCCCTCATTGTTACTGTTGCCGTGGTCACTGTGGGCTGTCACTACCCTGCACCCACCGCTCGAAAGATGTGTCTGTCATTTTACCTCCTATCCAATCCCACAGAGGTCTCCCCACTTTGCTTCCTCCCGCCTCCCTGACCCACCCCCAGTGGGCTTCACGGAACCCCTCGTGCCTCCGCTTCTGACTGCCGTGTGTTCTGGAGCAAAACTGCCCTTCTCCGCGGCATTCTCTCAGCTCGTTGAGGTCCTGCTTCCTGGCAACTGTCGCCAGTTTGGCTCCAATAAAGTAACAAACGCTTCAGATTCCCAGATGCAAACAGACTGAATGTGCGATGAGGGCCGTTGAGCTGTGCCACGCAAGTGTTGATCCAGAGGGGCGGGGGGGGGGGCTGTCCTGAGAGCACGCCAAATTGATACTAATTTGAAAATTTGCTACAGGAGACAAAACAAACAACCAAACGCAGTATATTCCGCTGAGGTTAGGGAAGATGCTTGTGTCTCAGTCTGCCTGGGTTTACTGGGACTGTTCTGCGGCCTGGCCAGGCATCCCTCCTGGTGGGCGCTCCGCCGTGTGCCCTGGAGAGGCTTGTGTCTGTGTGTCCGTGCGTCCGTGCGTCCCTGGGCAGGGTCCCCAGCGTGGCCTTAGGCGGGCTTGTTCTCCAGTGCTGTCTTCCCGCTTCTTGGCTGGCCTTCGGCCTTCTGCTGCTGCTGCTGCTGAACGTTGACGCAGGGCACCGACTTTGGAACTGCTGCTGTGAAACTGTCTGTTTTCCTCTCGCTCCTGCCGGTTTGACCTTCAGTGCTGTGAGGGTCTCTTGACTGGTGTGTGTGTGTGTGTGTGTGTGTGTGTAAGTGTTGTATCTCCCCGAAGGTCTGAGTCTTGAATCGGCACACAGCACCAGGTTCTCAGGGACGTCGGCGAGAGCCCGCAGAAATGGGGAGGATGCCTTCACAGTGTGAAGGCAGACCCATGGCTGACGAGAGTCAGCCACAGAGCTGCAGTCAGTGAGTCTGGTGACGCGGCAGGGACAGTCTGGGACAGTGAGCTCTCACAGTGGGACCCTGAATGCTCATGCTGGGGGTGCACGGGGCGGGGGTGCACACTCCCATCGAGCGAGTGAGCCCCGAGGGAAGAGGACGGGGCTGGGGGAGCCTGGGAACCAATCAGAGAACCGGGGGAGGTGGGCCTCAGCCACGGCCCGGAGACCCAGGGGCCGCCCGAGCAGTGCAGCTGGCCGAGAGGGGCAGCAGCCCACACGGGACCAGGTCCGAAGTCTCTGGGTGACGTTTATCGTCCAAAAGGAAGCTGCCGGAATGCCAGGGCGAGAGGAAATCACCCATCACCGCGCTGCGTGAACAGGGCGCCAAGTCTGTCCGGGGTGGAGGGGAGACGGTCGGAAAACGGAAGGCGGCCCGGTGATGTGCACGGCTGGGCGGTGAATTGTCGTTGTGTTGCCACAAGGACACAGTCAGGGTTGGTCGAAGTGAAGTTACAGGAAGGAGAGGGAGCCCTGGCTGGTGTGGCTCAGTGGACTGAGCATCCGCCTGCGAACCAAAGGGTCGCCAGTTCGATTCCCAGGCAGGGCACATGCTTGGGTTGTGGGCCAGGTCCCCAGTAGGGGTCAAGCACACATTGATGTTTCTCTCCCTCTCTTTCTCCCTCCCTTCCCCTCTCCCTAAAAGTAAATAAATAAAATCTTTTTTAAAATGAAAGGAAACAGAAGAAGAAGAAGAAAGGGAATGCATTGTGGGGGAGGGTAGGATAAGGTAGGGGAGAGGAAAGGAGGGAGGGAGGTACCAACCATCTTCTATAATAAAAATAAATGTCACAGAATGAAAATCAATAATTAGGAATTAAAAATATTTATGCTTACAGAGGTAAATATAAAAATATTACAAGGTGGTTGCCTGTAGGAGCTGCTGTACCTTGCAAACGCATTGGTTCTTTAAATTCTGGGCAAGTATAATTTTACTAAAAATAAACACGCAAATTAAAAATGAAGCAATAAGGAATGCAATGATACCCTTATGGGTACAAAGAGTTCCTCTATTCCCTAAAACTCAAATTCACTTCCCTTTGTGGATGCTGATCAAAGAAACACGACAGAGCCGTCTAAGTTTTCAAAGGTTTGGTGAAGTACAGTGAGAGCATTGGGAAGACAGAATGTTGACGGCAGCGTGTGCAAACACCTGTTTAATCGCTGGGTTCATAGGCCCGAGTGACCAGCACAGGTCTGAATCTTCATGAAAATTCATGGGATAACTCCGAGATCTCGATTCTCTTTAGGAATAAAGCCACACACTGCGTGAGATATACTTGTTTATTTGGAGTAAATCATAACAAAACCGTGTGATAATCACAATTTGTTCCTGCTGATTGATAGAGTCATTTGGACATCCTGAATGCCATCAATTAGAGCTGTATGCATAATTAAATTATGCAGCTAATTAGCATACAATGAAATAAAAAGGTCAACCGATGAATAATGGAAATTCTCCAGTTGAATAGCAAAGTATGTCATTTGAAGGCAATGACTTCTACACAATGTCATTTAAACCGCCCAGCTAGAGGGGGGAGTCCTTTCTATTCCAGGTCTGGAAGTTTCCATTTATTTTTAATTAGCTAACTAGCTTGTAGATTTGCAGGAAAACAAGCAGAGAAGGGGTTTATGTGTGCACTGAGGGTGCTCGGTCATCGGGTAACACGGGTAAGCTGCTCCAGTAGTTCCCGACACGACCTGAGCTCTCCGTGAGCAGATGGACAGTCACCCTCCCCCAGACCCGAGGGGGTTCCCTGTGTGGGTGGCGGCAGGTCCACAGACGCAGACTCCTGTTCTCCACGGTCACACGGAGAAGTGCGCTCTGTGTTTCTGACCCATGTCCTGCGACAGAGTCACCGGGTAAAGGGCAGTGCTGTCCCCTTGACAGCCAAGAGGATGTCACTGCTTCCTGTCCGGGAGCCACCCAGGGGCCGGCCCGTCCCCGGTCACAGCAGTAAACAGCATCCCGCTCTCTCTCAGCCTCAGCCCTGGGGGTGAGTGTAGCTTTATTTCCTCTTGTCTGTCTCTCGGGGGTGGGCCTGGCCCAGGGCCCCGTGGGGGCTCCCTGTGCTGGCGTTTCCAGCTGACTCGAACTCATTAAACGTGACGTTCGTTACAGTTAAACATAATCACGCTGAGACAAAGTGTAACTGACTTAAACATTGTTTGAAATATATATCCAAGTAGGAATACAAAACACAAAACTTAATAGAAACTAAGATACAACGAGTATAAAATGAAAAGTATGGACTGTCATAGGTTTTTTTTTTTTTAGATTTTACTTATTTAATTTTAGAGAGGGAAGGGAGGGAGAAAGAGAGAGAGAGAGAAACATCAATGTGCGGTTGCTGGGGTCCGTGGCCTGCAACCCAGGCATGTGCCCTGACTGGGAATCGAACCTGCAATGCTTTGGTTCACAGCCTGAGCTCCATCCACTGAGCTACACCAGCCAGGGCGGACCGTCATGGGTTTGATTGACCGTGTGCTTTCTTTATACGTGTTACTCTGTCTGGGGCAGAAATGTGGGGGTGTGTTTTACAACCAGGGCCAGGAGCCCCCTACCTACTTTTTAAATGTTTTGGTAAAATGTATTGAGCACTCGCTACCTGCCCAGGTGGAGACCCAGCTCTGAATCTAGAGGTGAGGCCCCCCCCCCGCCCGCCCCCGAGTTCCGGAGTCCTGGGCAGGAGCACAGAGAGCCTCAGGGGCTGGAGGAGAGAGACTGCGCCCCGCGGCAGGCTGTGTGTGTGTGTGCAGACTGTGTGCGTGTGTGCAGACTGTGTGCGTGTGTGCAGACTGTGTGCGTGTGTGCAGACTGTGTGAGTGTGTGCAGGCTGTGTGCGTGTGTGGCAGGCTGTGTGCGTGCAGCAGCCTTGGCAGGATTTGTGGAGGACGGGTCCCAGGAAAGACACTGTTTGAACCGGTTCTGGAAGGGCCAGGAGGTTCCACCACGGTGCAGGGTTACTCCTAGCAGGGGGAAGATGGCCAGGGAGCGGGAAGGCCGGGGACGGGGTAGGTCCCTGGCTGACCTTGGGGGAGACTGGCGAGGTGCGGGAGGGGCCCAGCGCCCTGCCTCGCCCCGCAGTGAACTGTCCGGTCTTCTCTCTTGTTTTCTCGGTGAACTGTGTGCATCTTTTCAAAGAACCAGCCCTGGGATTTGTTGATATTTTGCATCTATTTTTTAGACTCTATTTCATTTATTTCTGCTTGGTCTTTATTATTTTCTTCCTTCTGCTCACATTGGGCTTTGTTTGTTGTTCTTTTTCAAGTTCCTTTAAGTGCAAAGTTAGATTGTTTGAGCTTTTTCTTATTTCTCAAGATAGGCCTGTAGTGTTATGCGTTTCCCCTCTTAGGACTGCTTCCCCGCGTCCCGCAGATGTTGGTTGGTTGTGGGTTCATTTTCATTTGTTTCAAGGTATCGTTTGATCTCTTCTTTGATCTCGTTGTTGACCCATTCAATATTTAATAACATGTTATTTAGCTTCCACCTCTTTACATGCTTTTCAGGTTTTTTTCTTGTGATTGATTTCTGGTTTCATAGCACTGTAGTCAGAGAAGATGCTTGATGTGATTTCATCTTCTCGAATTTACTGAGACTTGTTTTGTGTCCTAACATGTGGTTTATCCTAGAAAATATTCCATGTGCGCTTGGAAAGAATGTATATTCTGCTGCTTTATTAGTAAAATACTCTTTCGATAGCAGTGAAATGGGTCACTTAAGGCCACTGTCTCCTTGTGGATGTTACATCTGGGAGATTCATCCGTGGATGTCAATGGGGTGTTGAGACCCTGGAGTGTGACTGTATTTCCGTCGACCTCTCCCTTTGTGTCCACCCAGATTTGCTTCACACACTTGGGTGCTCTGTGTCGGGTGCGTCAGTGTCCACAAGGGCTGTGTCCTCCTGTTGGACGGTTCCCTGCATCATTGTGTAGTTAGTGTCCTTTGTTGTCTCGCACTGTGGCCTGATTTCAAAGCCTGTTGTCAGATGGAAGCACTGCTACCCCAGCTTCGCTTCCCTCCCGTTTGCGTGGGATGCCTTTGTCTGCCCCTCACTTCCTCGCTCCTTCTCACTTCCTCTCTTCTCACTTCCTCTCTTCTCACTTCCTCTCTCTGTGCACCTTTCAGTCTGAGGCCGGTCTCTTGGGGGCGGCACACGTGTGGGTCTTGTTTTCTTAGCCACTCAGCAACCCTGAGTCTTTTAATGAGAGCGTTTAAGCCATTACATTTAAAGTGATCATTGATAGAGATGTATTTATGACCACTTTATTTTTTAACTGTTTCCTTCTGGTTTTTTTTTCCTCTTCTTAAAGCAAGCCCTTTAATATCTGTTGCAATATTGGGGTGGTTTTTACAAACTGCCTTAGCTTTTCCTTGTCTGGGAAGATGCTCTTTATTTCTCCACCAATTTTAAACGATAGATTTGCTGGGTAAAGTAGCCTTGGATGGAGGTCTGTGCTTTTCATCATCTTGACTATTTCTTGCCCGCTTCTTCCAGCCTGTAATGTTTCTGCTGAGAATCAGACGACCGTCTAATGGGAGCTGCCTTGTGGGTAAGTAACAGCTTTTTGCTGGCGGCTTTTAAGATTTTCTCCTTGTCTTTAAGCTTTGGCACTTTAATGCTGCTCTGTCCCGGTGTGGGCCTCTTGGGTTCCCTCGGGTGTGCGATGCTCTGCTCTTCCTGGATGCGCGTGTCTTTTCCGCCACCAGATTAGGGACGTTTTCAGCCATTGTTCCTGCACAAAGGTCCTGAGCCCTTTGCTCGCTTTCTTCTCCTTCTGGCATTTCCACCGTTCAGACGTGGTCACAGTGCATGTTGCCCTGGGAGTTCCTTATACTCTCCTCGTTTGATTACCTTTTCTGTTTGCTGCTCTGCCAGGGAGTGTGTCCCCCCTCACCTTCCCAGCCACGGGGTGGGCCCTCTGTTCTGACTAACCCGCCTGTTCATTCCCTCCAGCGTGTCACTTATCTCAGATGCCGCGGTCTTCCCTTCTGACTGCCCCTTCTTTATGGTTTCTGGGTCTTTTTTCACATCATTGCGTATCTTTACTTACAACCACCAGCCTCTCTAC